AGTGGCTAGTATTGGACTTGGAGAACATCAGGCTTCTGGCAATCATTCATCCAAAAGTTTCAGCTCTTGGAGAAACTCAAGAGTGAGAACCACAGCTGCTTTATACCTCCTCTGTCTTAGCCAGCATGGAATAGTTAAGGAGCTTGTGTGACACACGCAACCACCACCACACTCCTTGTGCTCATTCTTTATCTCCTTGCACATCCCCTCAAAAACAAAAAGCAAAACATTTTACTGTGAGGGTGACTGAACATGGGCTGTGAAGTCTCCATCCTTGGAGACATCCAAAACCTGACTGGACATAGTCCTGGGCAACCAACTGCAGGTAGCCCTCCCTGCTTGAGAAGGGCGTTGGCCTAGATGACCTCCAGAGGTCCCTTCCCACCTCAGGCACTCTGTGACCCTGTGAATGTCCCTGTTTCTATGCATACATCCATGACCACTGGCTCCGCCGTTCCTTTTCCTCGGAGGAGAAAGTTCACAGGGGTACATGTGGGCCCAGTGGAGATCCAGGAAAGCAGCTGGCCTAGCTCTTGGGGCAAATGACCTTACAGCTGCTGGAATGATCCAGCTGAGAGATTTACATGGGAGCCCAGCCCAGAAGCAAAGGTGAGTTTCAACATTTATGGTTACCAGTTGTACGACACGGAGGAATAAAGTTTCCCCAGAAGAAAGATGTTCCTCCCTCCACGTGGAAGCGCTCACACCCAGCCTACACAAAGGCTGGGGCTTCACTTGTCTGGACTATTTGTTACTGCTCTGTTACTGCAGTTCATAGGGATAAACCAAAGCCAGTCAAAGGCTCTTAATGAAAACGACTGCGGTAGCTCCTTTCCCACCTGGAAGAAACCGGGAGTTACCTGGATGGGTTTTGTGAAGCCACCAGTGCCTCAGGTAATGACTGTGTGTGCAACTGGTGGAGCACCAGATCCTTCATCCTCGGGCTGCTCCTGAGCAGGACTATCTTTCAGTACTTAAAGCGGGCTACAGGAAAGCTGGGACAGACGTTTTAGCAGGGCCTGCTGCAATAGGACAAGGGGTAATGTCCTTTAAATGAAAAGAGGGCAGATTCAGACTAGATAGAAGGATCTCCAGAGAGGTGGTAGATGTCCCATCCCTGGAAACACTCAAGGTCAGGTTGGACGGGGCTCTGAGCAACCTGATGTAGCTAAAGGTGTCCCTGCTCACTGCAGGGGGTTGGACTAGACGGGCTTTAGAGGTCCCTTCCAGCCCAAACCATTCCATGATCCTACACCCTACCTGTGTGGCCATGCCCTCTGCATCTGCTGGGTTCATGCCAGGGAACACAAGGTCCTTTGCTGGGCTGGCAGCTGGGAGAGCAGCAGCTCACCAGGACGAGGAGGACCCTGTTGCTGGAGCTGGGCTGGGGCAGGCAACCTTGCACCTAGGGCTGGTTTGGGAATTTTTATGGGGAGATCAGATAGGTGATGCGACTGCAAGGATAGGCGCTGCATAAGCCGCGTGTTCTTCTGGCATGCCTTAGCTGGGAGGGGAAAGGCTGGTATAATCAGAGCAATATGACAAAATAAGAACTGTTAATGATGTATGAGTAAAAAGGAAGATCTCATTAGAAAGAAAGTGAGAACTGGGACCTAGTGGATAAATACAGTGATGGGAAAACGTCACTGCAGTGACGGAACTGGGCATGCCACGGCCAGGGTTCGCTGAAGGACACAAGTGGAGGAGACAAGCCAGGACGAGGTGGGAAGTGGCCCACACAGGGTACATACACTTGGACTGGACAAGGAAAAGAAAGAGGATTTGAAGGCTCTGCTGAGGAGAGAAGCAAAAGAAACAACACACAGTCTTTCTCCTGTTTTAACCTGTGTATCGTGTAAACACACCTGGGGTTTTTTATGGTAACAATTTGACTTGAAGGCTTAGCTACCAGGGAACATTTCTACTTAGAAAAATAATCTGTTCCTAAGAACTTCTATGTATACTTTCATTTTTTTAATTAAAAATGATTCACAAACGTTTTCGTTTTGGCTAAGCCTAGTTTTATAATTGATGGGAGACTGCTCTTGCTGAGTTTTCAGCTACATGAAGAGATCCACTTCCTGAACAGGACCACTACATATTCATTCTCCAACTTGTCATCTACTGCAATGTTCACTGTAGTAAAATTAGGCAGAGCTGAGAAATCTTTAGGTACAGCTCCAGGTTTGTGTGTGTGGATTTTCACACTTGTAAGACAGTCACCTATTCTGCAAGCAGTAGTGCCAAGAAGGAAACTTGAGACTTTCCCCCCTCCGCAGAGGATGTTACTATCCAACGCTGAGAAGACTCGAGGGCCCACTCCACATATGCACAAAACCCGACACTGAAATTATTTGTGGGCTTGGGAGTTTTTCCCACCTCGGCGCGAAGCGACACCGTTCCCTGATCTTGCCCTCTCCCCGGCACATGCCCAAAGGGAAAAGCTTGGCCACGACCTGCTGCTTTTTTGCTTCTAACACGGGTCCCACCACATCCCCTACACAGAGCTGTGAGGTCTTCCCATTCTCTTAAGAACTGCTAAGGGCAAATTGAGACAGAAAAGGTGAAACTGCTGGTCTTTGCATTGAAATGACTGCTCTTACCTGGTCTTAAACAACTGTTAGACCTTGGGAGCCGTCTTTCCTGACAGCAGCGACAGTACCCACTCAGAAAGCTTCATGAAGCCACTTCCACGGCTGGTACCCCTTCAGAAACCAGCACCGCCCAGTAAGTTCAACGGCCTTAGTGGGAGTCTGGTCCTTGCTTCTGCTCTGAGAGCGCCTTCCTGGCAGTGGGTCCGTGCTAGCTACCTACCGAACAGAAGCAGGTTGGGGAGGCAGGGTAAAACAACTAGACCAGAGATGTGGGTCACTTCATAAAGAGTTAAAACGCATTTCACAAAGCACATTTGTCACCTTTCCTAGGATGCTCCTGCATTTTGAAGACAGCATAAGTTAGTGGGAGTGAGTGACAACTTCATACATCAAAAGACTTCTTGCCAGCAGGTTAGCCAGGGCATTTAACTTACCATCTATTAAAGTTTCAGTTTTCTTTTCTTTCTCCTTCTCGTGCAGAGAGAGAGGCTGGGGACCAGTTTACTAGATACAGTGACCTGAATGAGCAGGAGTCTACTTCTAGGCAGAGAGCAGGCTGAGTGCCTTCTGGGTTGCTCTGGCAGTGAGTAATGGGTTGGTGCCTCCCAACCCCCCCCATACTAGGTCTCCCCACCCCAAGGACTGGAGAGCAGGGGTTGTTAGAGCTACATGAATGACTAACATCAAAACAAGAATTGTCTGTGTCATAACGGTTGTTAGAGAACTGCTTGGCTTCAATTTAGGTTAGATGTTGGGAAGAAATTCTTCCCTGTGAGGGCGGTGAGGCCCTGGCCCAGGCTGCCCAGAGCAGCCGTGGCTGGCCCCC